TCCACATGACAACTCTCGGTGTTGGGATCTTTCCTTTGCTTTCTACGACATGAATCTGGGGAGGGTCGTCCCATCACCTGATTACGTCTTTGTCAATTAGAGTTAGTTTGTTTGTGTGGTTTTCACACCTCCAATGTTCCACTCTTATGAAACCGCTGGGTATATTCTCCAACAGTTTCCACACAACATTGTGTTCGACTTTGAGTTCCCAGATGTACCAGGCACCTGAGGGGTCGAGTCCCTCTGGCCCAAAATGTTGAGTCATTCTTGCAGGATGAATTCGATGATCAAAGGTCAATGTTCTTCAATATTTCTCATGCCTCTCATTTCCAGTTTGATATCAACCAATGGGCACCAGTCTTCTAGGACTAATGACCGAAGGTCTTCAAGTCTTACCATGCCTCTGCATACCAGGCTAGTCCAAAGGAGCCGTTGAGCCATCTGGCACCAAGGGGTTGCCATAGTTGTTTGTGATTTCAAGGTTATCGAAGATCTGATGCGCCAGGACCTCGCCTTTGAAAACTGGTGCTGAGAGAATGGACGGGGGGAGTTTGTTCCACGCCCAACTGATTACCTTCCGAAATTTCAATTTTATCTTTTTTTTTATGAAGGACTTCATAAACAGGCACGTCCATACGTCCTTAGGTCTGTTGAGATTCCACTCCCATATTAGGATCCAAGCCACCAGCTCTACCGAATGATCCTTGTGTGGCAGAGGCAACCTTGTATATCCAATTGGCCAACTGAGCCTGGTTTTTTCGTGTTGGGTTCCCCAATTTTAGACAACCTTCCGACTGTGGAAGATTAGAGTCCCCCACACTACTTTATCCTGGAAACCTTCCATTTCTTGTGCTCTCAGTTTCCAAACAAAACTTATCACAGGTCTTTTCACTGCTTTAATGACACCTTCTGCAATTTTTTTCACAGTGCTGACAAACCATAGGATGGAAAAAAATGACATGTTGGCGACCAGAGTCCGACCAATTAACGAGAGATGTCATGCCGAACACCAAATTATGAGTCGTGTTGCAATACGTTGCTGCAATAGTAGCCCTTGCGTAGTGAAGGTTACCTGCAGGTTGATGAGTACCCTAGGAAACACTCCTCCTCTCCTTTTTCCACCCATTTCATCCTTCACTCCACTGTCAATTCGTATTGCTTTGGAAGCATGTGAACCGACTTGTTCCAGTTTACTGAAGCTTTCGACAACAAGGAGTATTCCGCCATGATTCCCTTCAGTGCGGATAAAGACTCCGTTGAGTTTCCGTTTACAAATAGGTCGTCGGCGAGGGCCTTGACTGTGCATTCTGAACTGGAGTGGAGTTGAAGACCTTTGACAAGCGGACAACGCTTGATACGATTTAAAAGTATTTTCGCAACGCGAAGAGTAGAGGAGCTAGAGGGTGAGGAGAGATGACCATTGATCATTACAGCGGATGTGGAAAAGGTATACATCCCAGTGACCCAATTGCAAAAACTGTTTCCAAAGCCCATTCGCTTCTAGGTTGTCGACGAAAGTCCAACCCACCTTGTCGTATGCTTTCTCCAGATCGAGCAGTATGACTTCTGTGTTTAAGTGCTCTGTCTGTACCACTTCTAGAGCTTCGATTGCCGTCACGATGTTGTTGAAGATGGAGCGCCCTTGCACAAAAGCGCCCTGATCTCTCACCACTAGTTCTAGAAGTAGTCGTGCGAGTCTTCTTGCCGATGCCTTCACGAGAACCTTGTATGATACATTTAGAAGGGAGATTGGGCGCCATTTTTTTTTTTTTTTTTTACAATTGCTCTAACCTATTTGTGGGGAGCAGCACGTGCTGGGAACCGGGCCCAACGTCCCATCTGGAATTATACAAGACATGTGAAATACTGGGGCCATTACCCGACTTCGGCTGAGAATCAATTAAGAAAATTCAAGGAAATTTAGTAGAAGTCACGAGTAACTACTAAGTTGCTAACCAATTCAACAATCCTTTTTTTTATATCAAAAGGCCTCCCAACCGTGAAATAGATCAGTGAAGACCCATTCAATCCCACCTAAGACTACCACCAGCATGACTGTTTTCAACACAAGCCGGAGCTCTACCAGGCCTCATGCTCCCTTTAGGCTGGGTCACAGAGTTGCACCACCTTGCTCCAGCTCCCGCCAACATTGCTCCAGCTATGACCCCCGATGACCACTGAGACTGGCCCCACAAGCAGCCCCCCAGATCTCTCTACCAGGCCTCACGTCCCCAATAAGCTAGGTCACAGAGTTGCACCACTTGGCTCCGGCTCCGTCCAGCGTTGCTCCAGCATCAGTCTTCGAGGGCGACCAAATTTTCGACCACCTTTAGAAGAATCACAGATGGCTTGCCGGATCGCACCTATTCCTACCACCTCCTCGAGAGGCAACTAGACTGGATGTTAAACCACCAGTACTTCCTAAAGTCGTGCCCAAATTCATCCAATTAGGAAACGTACGGGCCACTACAGGAACGCCCAAATTCATCCAACTAGAAACGTTTCTACTCTATTTTTTTTCCGCGGCCGATAGCTGGGCCAAGTACTGGTGGTTTAAAATTCCTCAAGAAGGATCACCCCTCCCTCCCCATACCCATTCCCCCTCAGCCCTACACTGCCTCCGCCGAGACGAGCCTCGCGCTCTCCCTCGGCCCCAATATAGGACCAACCTTCTCCCCCCTTGCCCCAGGGGCATGCAGTCCCCTCCTAAAACATGCCCCCCCATCCCTTGCTCATTTCTGCCTCCACCGGGGCTGATGTTGACCCCACGCACCACCCCCTGCCCCAGAATAGGGCAACCCCCCTAACTCCGCCCCTACCCTCTCCGAGACATTCACCTCCCACCTTGTGATACCTCTGCAGGATAGTGCTCCCCCCACCCCCTTCTTCCAGTTCTATCCAACGGGGATGATCCCATCCAGCCAACTGCAGTTATTGATAACTCCCTTACCAAAATGTTGAATCCTCTTCGTACGACTTGCAATTTGAAAAAACATGTGCGATAACCCCCGAGCACCGTGCATCTCTTAAGAATGAACTGCTGAGAAGTCCCAGGGCGGCGATCAAGCTGTTGCAATTATTCTCATGCCCCCTGCGTCAATCGAAAGTTGGCAGCTCCCACCAAGTACTCCTATCACCAATTTGAAAAACTCAAAAAATGATTCTCAAATTTAGAAGTATAGTAGCACAATTCCGAAATTTCCGGGATCGTAGTAGAAGCTACTTGCGAGTCTTAGAAATTGTAGGCTAAAGACTAAGAATACATATTATGTTAATGATATAAGACTAATTAATGCGTTTACAACTTTACAACCAGTTGAGAGGTTGAGAGGTTAGAATTTAGGGTTTCAATTTTTCCGAATTTCAAGAATTGATATGTAGTTCAAGAGATCAAATCATGACCTAACGATGGAATTTCTGGACCATTTATGCTAACGATGGAATGGTGATAACGAACAGGAATATTGCCCTAAGGCAACACACGGATCATAGTTGCGTAAACAATATTTCGAATCACCCTATCAAAAGGACAAAGTAAAGAAAACAATTAACACGATACTAGTCGCATCCAGCCAGAATGACATCTGATGAAACGTATGGGACAACATCCAGCTACCGCTTATAGAAAAGGTCAACACATAGAAAGATAACACACACAAATCAACTACGAGCAACTACTAGCTAAACATATGCTTGTTCTTACATCAGCCTTGTCTCCCTTCTTGAACAGCACTGAGATCACACCATGGGTTCTACGGTCAGTGTGGCTGTGTAGAATGAGTGTGGTTGGGTACACCGTGTCGCGGGATCTCCGTGCCGGGGTGGGGTGAAGTGCTCATCTTGGGGCTTCACTTTCACCCCAGCCCACTTAGCCTTATGGTTAGGTGTTAGCCTGCCAAGTCGTTGGTTGTGTTTTCGAGTCTTGTATCAGACATCACATATGCCTTTACCCAACTTGCCACCCTCCAATACGTAGTTGTAGAGCTCAACCAGAACAGGTCCTAAGACCGGCCAGTTCTTGAGGTAGAACTCCACGGTCAGACTGTCGATTCCCAGAGATGTACCATGCGCCATGGACTTGAGAGTTTCTGTTGTCTCCTCTATTGTGAGGGGACTGTCTAGGTTGAGTCTAGCCATGGCCGACAGCTTCACTATTGTCTCATTCAACATGTCTGAGTGGACTGAGAGATCTGTGTTGACGTCCTCGTGGGGTCTCCTACCGGTAGTGGTTAGGATGTCCTTGTCTATTGGAGCATACTGGATGTGGAGGGGAGTGGGAATGTCAAAGGGGTGCCGTACTTCAACCATCTCCTGCTGTGCTCTGCATGGTTGAAGTTCTTGAAACGTTTCCCTAGTCATCAGGGTGCTGGAGCGGTAGTGTCAAAGGGGTGCCGTAGTTGCACCATCTGCTGCTGTGCTCTGCATGGTTGGAGTTCTTTAACCGTTCTTGTCATGCGTTCCAATCCCTTTCCTCTCAGCACCTCCACCCATCTTCTCTGTTTTTCTACTTGCAGGTTGTCCCATTCTGCATTCCGCTTCTCCCTTTCCACAGCCCAAACCGCCGCTGAGATCGGATATCCCTCCATGAGCTCCTCTGCTTCCTCTACTCTTTTTTTGCATTCAGCCTCTCGGATGTTTCTCTCCTTTGCAAGGATTCTTGAAAAGACATCCATAACACCCGAGATCATTGTGAGGCCGCCGTTTAGCCATTCGGCTGTGGAGCCAAAATGCCGTTTTGCTTCTTCCCACCTCTGCATGTGGTCTGTTACACATTCACCAACTCCTGGTTCTTCTCCTGGTTCTTCTAAAATCTGACTGTTGTCCTTCGGAACGATACGCAGAAGATTAGCATGGCCCCTGCGCAAGGATGACACGCATAAATCGAGAAATGGTAATGAAAAAAAATCTGACTGTTCAGCCTGAAGAAACCCCTGCCCCTCTCAAGACCAGCTTGCAATCTAATGTCCGTTACTGAGACCGCGAAGCTCGGAAGTGTAAGAGGTCTTTTATTTTGGAGGGAGGGTTCGAGCTCGCGTGTTTTTTCAACAGTTCCACGGGTGTAACACTCAGCCACGTGGGCTGGGTAGACTGGCTTGATTGCTGGCCAGCTGGTCTGACCGCGAAGCTCGAAAGCGTAGTCTCGGCAATTTCCTGCAGTCATTTCCGGCGGTCTTTCCGTTGGAGTTGGGCAGCCGGCGGGTCCGACTTCGCCGCCCAGGTCCACATCCCTGCTCCTGTGTTGGCCGTGCTGTCTGTGGTCTATGGTCAGCCTGGAAGTGAGAGCGGCGTCGTACCACGTTTGCCAGCCTTGTCCGTGTCTGTGCGCCAACCCCTGGTAGCTATGGTGATGGCAGGATGCCTTCCACGTGTCGCCGCCGCAGTGGATGGCCACTGCATCGAGGCAAAACTTGCTGGATTCGTTCAACGCCAGCCTCCGGACAGCGCCTGCTCGTGTTCGTCGTCTGTCACTTCCCGGTCTTCTTGCTCGGGTGTTGTACTGGAACATCTCCATAGCCAGAGCCATCTGCATTACCATTACCATAGCTCTCATCATCATCACCATCGTAATGATCCCCGTCAGAACGGAGTACAGGCGCACTCTGACGACCTGCAGGGTGGAAAGAGCTGTCTGGGTCGTCCTCGATCTGGGAGCAGACGATATGGCGTAGTCTTAGTGGGCGGAGAAGGACGGCCCTCGTGGAAGGACACCAGCCGCTGTCAGTGTTGGCGGCTCGTTCGACATCGAAGCTCTGTTTCGGCACCAGTTAGCAAACCTCTTCTCCCGCCGAAATGGTGGGATCAATGGCAATGGCAACGCTTGTTCTCTTCTTCTTCTTCTTCTTCTGGCAGCGGCCGCGCATCGCGGCTTCGTCGACGATTGTCCTCATCCCCAAAATCACTCAGCGGACGCCGGCGATATGCCGGGGTCTTCCCGCCGCCGCCGGCGCTCTCGCCCCCCTCCGTGATGATAGCTATGGCGGAAATAGCTTTAGCAGCCGAGCAGTTTGCTAGCGGCACTGTTGGGGGGCTAAAGGGATCAGGTTTGCGCGCTCATAGGCTAGCCGTTACTGATGATCACATACGGCCGGCTTGGCGTGAATTGACCGAGGAGGAATCAGAGGCTGCTGACACGTGCAGGAGCGAGGTGATGGGGTGGAGGGGTGTGATGAGCGGGGCAGGAATTGCAGAGCCAAGTTGGACGGTTTGCTCTTTGTCGTCTTGTTCGGTCGTCCGTTCTGCATCGGATTTCCGTAGTCTTCTCTCGCCGAAGCTCCGCTTTCGGTTCGGGCTCGGCTCTGCCAGCAGATCGCAGCTCCTGTGTCATGGGAGGAGGGTGGAGAAGAAGCTAAGGAGAGCGATGGTATCAAGAACGGCGGCTATGGCGGCGACCTCGGCGTCGTTGCCGTTCGGAACTGGAACTTTCAGCGAATTGTCGATGACAACGTCGAGGGCAGGCAGCAAGACTTCGAGCAGGAGGGGGAGGGGGAGGAGGAGGAGGGGGATCATGATGGAGGGCGCAAAGGTGGAGGAGGGAGCTATGGGGTCTGCGGGTGGTGGGCTGCGCGGTAGGAGAGGAAGCCTCGCCGGCAAGTTGTCGGCCTTAGCGATGCGCACTGGAACGAACATGAACCCGTCGGCTATGACGGTGGTCGTTCCGCCATCGCCGGCCTCGGGAGCATCTTCATCAGCGGGAGGAGGTACTGGTGGTGGTACTCCGTCGCCCTCGGGAATGACGAGCAGTAGCAGCGCGGATGTAGGAGGTGGAGGTGGCGGCGGCGGCGGCGGCGGCGGCGGAAAAGGACGATACAGTGCTGACGTTGAGTCGGCGATCAGCCAGTTGAGTGCCCTTGCGCCACGTGGCAGCGTGGCAAGGTGCATGGACGCTTTTCGTGGCCGCCTTTCGCTTCAGGATTTCGCGCTCATTTTCCGCGAATTCGCTCAGCGCGGCGATTGGCAGCGCTCTCTCCGGCTCTTCCGCTGGATGCAACGTCAGCATTGGTGTCGGCCTAACGAGCAGATTTACACCATCATGATCGGTGTGATGGGCCGGGAGGGGATGCTGGACAGAGCGGCGGAGTTTTTCGAGGACATGCCGTCGAACGGCGTTCCCTGGAACGTGTACTCCTTCACCGCGCTGATCAACGCCTACGGGCGGAACGGCGAGTGCGAATCCGCTCTCGATCTTTTGGCGCGCATGAAGAGGGAACGCGTGGCGCCCAATCTCATCACCTACAATACTGTTTTGTCGGCTTGTGCCAAGGGAGGATTCGACTGGGAGGGTTTGCTCGATTTGTTTGCGCAGATGCGGCACGACGGGGTGCATCCCGACCTCGTCACGTACAACACGTTGCTGGGGGCGTGCAGCAGCAGGGAGCTTGTAGACGAAGCGGGCATGGTGTTGAGGACCCTGGTGGAGGCTGGATGCACGCCGGACGTGGTCACGTACACGACGCTCACGGAGACGTACGCTCGAGCGGGAAGATTGGCTGACGTGCCTCAGCTGTTGAGGGAGATGGAAAGATCGGGGAACGTTCCAGACGTCGTCGCTTACAACGTCGTCATCGAGTACCTGTCGAAGGTGAACGCGTATCGAGAGGCGGGGGAGTTGTTCGCCCAGATGAAGGCAGCGGGGTGTAAGCCGAACGCGGTAACGTACGGAACCTTGTTGGAGGCATACGGGAGGAGGGGGCGGTTCGACGACGTGAGGGGGGTGTTCAGGGATCTGAAGGAAACGGGATGCGAGCCCAACGTGGCCACTTTCAACACGATGATCGAGGTGTTTGGGAGGGGGGGGTATTACAAGGAGGCAGTGGGGTTGTTCAAGGACATGAGGGAGAGTGGGTGCGAGCCAGATGGGGCGTCGTGTGCGGCGCTGCTGAACGCGTGCGCCAAGGGAGGGTTGCACGAAGAGGCGGGAGAGATTTACGACTACATGGAGAAGGCAGGGATGGGTCTGACGACGGACATGTATATGGCCGTGATTCGTGCATATGGGACGGCGGCGGCGTACGAGGAGGCAGAGGGAGTGCTAGCCGTTGTGACAGAGACAGCGGCAAAGGAGGAAGCGGCGGCGGCGGCGGCGGCGGCGGCGGCGGCGGTCGGCAGCGCCTCCCCAAGCCCTGGGGAGGATGAGAGCGGGGGGATCGAGGAGGTGGTGAGGGATAAGCGGAGGAAAGATCCGGCGGGTAAGGTTCCCGAGGTTCTCGGGTCGATGATGGACGGCGGCGAGGGCCAGCTCGGTGTCCGCGAAGGGGAAATCGCCGCCGCATATAATGCGTTGATTGAGGCCTATGGCAAGGGGGGAATGTGGGACTTGGCCGCCGCTTTGACGGTAGAGATGAGGTATCGCTGGGGTTGTTCGCTAGATAATTGCACCTACAACGGATTGATTGAAGCCTTCGGCCGGGCAGGTTTGCTAGACGAAGCCGTCAGTGTGCGGGAGGACATGGCGTCCATCAAAAAGGCGCCCGACGAAGGGACACTCGTTGCAATGCTCAAAGCGTACGCTGTGTGTGGAGACCTAGATGGGGCGGTCAAAGTGTTCCGGGAAATGTGTAAGGAGGCGGCGGCATCGTCCAAATACGAGTACCCTCCGATACCCCCCTTGGCGTCGTGTTGCGTTATGATTGGCATTTATGCCAGAATAGGGGTTTGGGATGGAGGGGTTCTCCATGTGCTTGATCTAATGGGGTCTCCTGGAGCCAATCCGGAGCATCTTGTGGTTAAAAGGTTTTTGGAAGCGTTTATCTTGTCCTCTTCTTCTTCCTCTTCCTCTTCTTCTTCTTCCTCTTTCTCTTCTTCCTCTCCCGCTTCTTCGTCTTCGTCCTCTGTGGCTCTCGATAGCAGAGGTAAGGCTTCTACTGCAGCCGGTGCTGCTGTACCTATGGCGCCGAACGCTTCCAACGACATCAACTTAACTCCTCAGGAGGAACAAGAGGAGAAGAGGGAGCGATGGAACCATCTTCTTGAGCTATTCGATGAGATGAAGGTGAGTGTGGTTTATGACCCTAACAATTCCTTTTATTTGCTTTCTTCTCTACCTCATATGCTACCATTGTCCCTCTCTCTCTCTTCTGTCTCACTATGACGAGTTCACGATGAAGCTATCTCCTTCTCCTTCTCCTTCTCCTTCTCCTTCTTCCTGTAGTTTAGCCTATATATCAAACTCCGTCCTCAATAAACAGCCCGTAATCTGTCAACCTATTCGTGTATGTATGATGATCAATTACCCTCATAGATCATATATGTATATAATTATTCATACTCGTAGTCAATTACCATCATCCTGTATCCTGTCTGCAGTTTTGACGGATCCATCAGACTGTGTGATTGTTCACTAGATTGTGCACTCCGATCGATGGGCGTTATGGCCGATCTGGCCCGAATCTCATCACCCGTACATACATGCACAACACATTCATGCTACTGTCGTAATTGGAACACAAACGAGCACAGGCATCTTCGCCGTCCCCATCTAAAATCTTCTTTTTAAACACAACCACAAACAGTCGAATACATCCGGGCAAGAATGTCGGGCTTCATCCTCCTCCTGATGAGTCGGCTGAAGTCCTACAAAACAGTCTGGCACAGTCGGCTGGAATTGTGTGTATCGAACAATGACAACACACACGCACACAAAGGAGGGGGGGGGAGGGGGAGGAGCAGCGCACCGATGAGCCTATAGCTCGGTTGGTATACCAATGAACTGTTGAAATACAGACCCAAGTTCGAATCCTGATGGTTAACTCCATGTATGCAATGGAATAGTAATTCTGAATTACCTGGGGCTGGTCAACTCGATGATGATATCTTAAGGCTGTCAACCTTAAAAAAAAARAAAAAAAAAAAAAAAAAAAAAAGGAAGCTGATGGAGCTGCTGTGTCCTATGATGCTAAGAAAGTAGGTATCGTTGTGAGCTCAGTGCCCAAGTTGGAATCCCATCGAATGGGCTGGCAATCCATGGTGATCTACGGATGATCCGCTGGTGACGATGTGATGGGGGATGCGGCGGCGGTCCGCTGACGATCTGCTGGTCATCCGCTGATGCCCCAATCACGAAAATGACCAATATGGATTGTGGGCGAAGCCTTAGGGAACCGGGAAAAGTAGAGATTGAGGTGCAAGTTAGGAGGGGGAGTAAGTGAACAGTGGGGTTTTGAGTATGCCCAATGGACCAATGCCCTTTTCCCCCGAATAGAACGCCTGCGCATCATGACTTCATCTGTCTTCCGTGCATGCCTAACGATGCCTACCTACCATCTTCCTCCGACCACAATGCACCCGCATAATGTGTGCCGTACCGGAGGGAGAGAGAGAGAGAGAGAGAGAGAGAGAGAGAGAGAGAGAGAGCTTGTAGGCGGTTGTGATTAGGGTGCGTTGTATTTGGGAGAAGACGGTAGTATGCGTTTTATTCGGGAGAAACTGTTGATAGCCGTGGGGTATGTGATTTGCCACGTGGGTCACGATCGTCTCATCTTGCAATCCAAAAAGCAGAAAACAACAGGCCAAACATTTCAGGAGCGGTATAAGAACTGCCCCTCCTTTGGAAAACCCACATTGAAGGCAGAAGGGTTTTAGCGTGAGGGCATGTATATACACACTTTTTTTTGTGGATGTATCTGGTCCTAACTGCGTTTAGATTCGGTGCATAAGAAATTCCGAAAGTGAAACATATCCTGTCTGGACATGAATTAGGCCGGAGATGTACGTTCCAGCTTTCGCTGTGTTAGCCTTTTCTGGTGATTGGTTGTTCGATTTTTTTATTTTTTTATTTTTTGGTTTCCTCTACAGAACCAAGAAAACGCGCCCTCTGTTGACCCTTCCTTTTTTTTAATCTTTCGCACGGCTCATTATCTTCGCAAACCCGTGCAACGAATCCCTTATCACGTCTGCAGCGAACCGGAAAGATAGCTTGTATACATGTGGGACATTGACTTGATTATTCTTGTGTTGGATAAGGTCAACTCCTGTGCCTGTTAAACATTCTTAGTGGATGAGGAACATTCTTTGTGAATAGTCTCTCTCCACTTTGACTTGCACATATTCCTAAAAGAAAGTGTGCATCAGTGTTCGTAACACCCTCTTTGAGTTTGCGCTTTTTCCCTTCCCCAGTTCTCTCTCTCTCTCTCTCTCTCTCTCTCTCTCTCTCTCTCTCTCTCTCTCTCTCTCTCTCTNTCTCTCTCTCTCTCTCTCTCTCTCTCTCTCTCTCTCTCTCTCTCTCTCTCTCTCTCTGTGTGTCTGTGGTCCTGATCGGACGTTCGATTCTTCCTTCTCTATTCCTGTGATCGTACCTCAGAGCAGTATTCTCACCACACGGTGCCAGCTGTAATGTCCTTCTGGACGCTTCCTTGCCTATGATGCTTGAGAACTAAGCACTGTAGAGAGGGTCGAGATTGTTTAGGATGGAATTGAACTGCTTCCTTGCCGGATGGAAACGATGTCTGAGTGGCTCTATTCAAACGGAGTTGATTAATCAGAGGGAACGCTTGAAACTCTTTAGCACTGATGTATTGAAATCCTTGCGTGCGCAATTGAAAAGATACCTGCGTGGCTCCGTTCAGAACGAATCAAAAGCTAATTAATCAGAGGGGAAGCACGTCTCTCGGGCAAACTGGTAGGTGGAGCGCACAGCTACCAGAGTCGTCCACCCGGGCAGCTGGGGAGTAAAGGAGGGTTCTTAAGGGCTTAGACGTGTGTGCCTTGATTTTTCATTTTTTTATTTTTTGTATTGAATTTAAGAAGAAAGTTTTGAGGTGACGTTTGGTTAAGGCTCACAAGTGGCATTCAGGAGGTCGTGGGTTCAATCCCCATTGGCCTCATGTACCTTCCTGGGGCATGCTTGGCGCCCGCCACCTAGAGATAGACCACTGGATCCCCTGCCGATCGGCATTGAGCAGAGTCTGCTGATGTTCGTAGGGGAGGGGACCACCACCTGAGGGGAGGCACAGGGACCATTGGTCCTGTTGGCATGGTCCCTGATGCTACCGTCCGTCCCCTGGCCGGTATCGCCCACCTGCAGATTGGGAGCAGCCCCCACATGTTCTCTCTTGAACACGGTTCTGGCTGCTATGGGGTTTAGTGTGAGGTGAAATTGAGAGAAGAGTGTAGCTTGCTTTAAAAAAAAAAAAAAAAAAAATTGTTTGTTCGTATTGCGGTTTTCTACACAGCAGCTCCCCAAGATTTTATTTTTTTTTTCGATTTTTTTTGGTTTGTTTTTATTATATTTTGTCTTAGGTCGGCTACCCGGGATCTGAACCTGGGGCCGTTCTGGCCTCCGGTTGGGAACCCGTGCTGCCTCAGGTAGACCCAGCCGCTTGGCTGGTATAACCTAGGCACAGAGGGGATTATGCTGAGACTGGCTGGGGGGTACTCAGGTGAAGAATAAACCCCCCAGAATATTCTTGAGGGCTCCAAGGCAGTGGAAGCAGGTTTGACGAACTTTCGTTTCCTTTTTTGGCAAACATTTCTGGTCTGTTGCTCTGTTGAAGAAAGTGCAATTGAACAGACTTTGCTGACACGTGGGCGTGGGCGCAAACCTGGCAAATGCGATTGATTTTTTGCTTCAGTTGCAAGGAGTCCTAAGTTGCATGGCGTTGTACGATGGGCTCGCTGATGCTCTTTGGTGGCTTGGTCTCCGCAAGCATGCCTCACACGTTTTTCAAGAAGCTAGACTAAGAGGAATCTTTCCAGAGGCAATGGTCGTCTCTAGAAATGTGATCAGCATTGACGTTCATAGGTAATTTGGGGGCGACTTGGCGACGAATCTTGTGTTTTCTCCCTTGTTGCACTTCAATTTATTCTGCAAGCTTGACATCTTTTCCTTCCGGTGTCTATGATTTGTTGTGCTTTTGCTTGCCCCTTCCCTGCCCCTTCCCTGCCCCTGCCGTACACCTTCTCTGAAACTTCTCTGAACCTTCTCTGCACCTTTCTGTGAACCTTCCGTGTGTGTTTATAATTTATTTCGTTTTTGCTTGCTCCTCTCCTGCCCCTTCTCTGCACCTTCTCCTGAGCTGCTTATAATTTGGTCTGCTTTTGCTTCCCCCCTTCCCTGCGCCTGCCCTGCACCTTCTCTGAGCCTTCTTTGCACCTTCTTTGCATCTTCCTTGTGTTTATGTTGCATGTTGCTTCTTTTGCTTTAGCATGTTTGGTGTGTGTAGGGCGGTAGCATGGTCCCTTCTGCAATCTTTTCCTGCTATACAATCGAACGCCATGTTGACGGCCGGCAGGTTTAGTTTGCACCTTTGGTGCCATGAGAGTGGTGTTGGCGACCTTGTATGTAGACTGGCGTATGTTTGGTTTGCTAACTTTGCTTTGATGCTGAGAGTGTTGTGAATGTATGCTGTGGCGACTTGCTATGTACGTTTGTGAGGAATTTTGTCTCGTCTTTTCTAGGAACAAAAGGAAAATGGGGTAGCTGCGTAGTATGGCGACCAAGAGGGTGGGATTTGAACCCAACGCCTTTTTTCCTCGCCAGCTCTACGGGTGTGCGTCATGCAGCGATCAGGCAACAGCTATGATGATTTGCTTTTCTACTGTTTTCAGCACACGATCAGATGTCTACAACCCCCATCATATGTACATGAGAACAGAAAGCTGGAAACGGCTTCCATGTGCCGCCTCCTTTCTCTTTGATCCAGCTTAGAGTCCTGGTAGGAGTTCAATCCAGTGCTGGTCGCCGGATGGACCGGGGACCCCTACCCCATCCGCGGTCCTTCCGGTTGGACCGGCCGGTGGCCCGGGCTGGTTCCCTCCCGGTTGCCCCCAGCGCATTTTCGCTGGGGGCTGAATTTTTTTTTTTGTCGGCTCGTATGTGTTCCCAAGGCCTCGTGGGGGCGGGCCCTGCCCCGCAATTTCGAAACCGGGTCCTGTAGGCCCGGATTTTTCAAGTACAGAAAGTGGCCAATCTTGGCCGCCGATCGTCGCAGATCAGCGGCAAAGATCGGCCAGGACCCCATTTCTATAAGAAAAATGGGCAGAGGATATCCGCCGCTGATCTATGCAGATCAGCAGCGGAGACCAGCCATGCGTTTTTCCTAAGATGTGGGTCGGGTAGGCCCCTAATGCAATTTGTCATCTTGTGTTCCAATGGACCAGTTACCATTGGCAACATCTGATGCTCTTTCACCCTCAGCCACGAGGGGAACACTATGCTTCTGATGAGACTCTGCTGAGATTATATCCTTCTGCGACGTCCCTGCCATCTGTGGAAAAAAGTTATGGGTTCGGATTTTGGAATTGTGATTTCAGAGCCTTCTGAGGGGCAATCCCAAGAATGGACCTAAAATATAGGGCGTTGCTGCACTACTCTCGACATGCACAAAAGACAAAAATCTTGGCGGTGTAACTTTCCGAATTCTAGCGGAAGATTCACTCTCGTTTTGCACATTTCGAGAGTAGTGCAGCGAGGCCCATATTCTTCTCTCTATCTATCTCGAATGGACCTTGCT